AAAACTTATGGTTACCAGGAGGGAAGGAGGGTGAGAAGGGATAAACTGGGAGTTTGAGATTGGCAGATACTAATATATATATTATATATACTAATATATATATATATATAAATAGATAAACAAGTTCATACTGTATAGCACAGGGAATTCTATTTCACATCTTATAGTAACTTATGGTGAAAAAGAACATGAAACAAATATATGTATGTTCATGGTTCATGTATGACTGAAGCATTATGTTGTACACCAGAAACTAACACAACATTATAAACTGACTATACTTCAATTAAAAAAAATAATTCAGCACAGATCATCTCTACTGTATCCGCTTCCCAGGGCTGCCATAACACATTACCACAATTTGGTGGCTTAATACTCTGGAGGCCAGAAGTTTGAAATCAAAGTGTTAGCTAAAAGAAGCTACAATGCCTCTGAAGGTCTTGGGGGAGAATGCATTCCTTGCCCCTTGCAGCTTCTGGTGGCTGCAGGCACTCCTTGACTTGTGGCCACATCAGCCAATGTCCGTCTCTACAGTCACATTGCCTCTTTCACTTCTGCCTGTGTCACCCCTCTGTGTGTCTCTTACAAGGACACTTGTCATTGGATTTAGAGCCCACCCTAGTAATCCAAGATGACCAACTTATCTCAAGATAACTTAATTCAACTACATAGGCAAAGCCCCTTTTTCCAAATGTCGCGTTCACAGATTCTAGAGATTAGGGCGTGGACGTGTCTTTTGCGGGGGCCACCATTCAATCCATGGCAGCTACCTTCCTCCACTTTCATCACGGTTAGTTAGTAATCCTGAACATAGTCACTACTCAGGTTATTCTGATGTTTAAGTATTTTACTAATATTATTTATCAAGCAAATCACTTAAATTGTATGTGTCTGTAATTTTTAATTCTTATAACCACCCTAAGATTATCTCTTTGATAAAGTGAAGGGGATTGAGGCTCAAAAAAGGTAAGACTTTGAATGCAGCATTCTTATGAGTGCCAATTTAGATTTCAAGTCTTGTGATCTTTCAGCTACAGCTTAAATTTTATGAGTGTATGAATTTACATATCCACATCCTTCTTTAGAAATTGATACATTAAATTTCACAAGATGGGTTTTCTTTATTTAAATTTTGGTCTCTGTTGTGCCTCAGGTCAGATAGTATTCTGAAATTTCAAAGCATCTCTCCCAGATTTAACCTTAGGAAGAACAGGTCAAAGTGAAGTTTTGTAGACTCATGGCCATAGGATGAGATTAAAGTTGGGGCTTACTATTTCACCCAGAGCTATCCCCCAGTTTCCAATTCTGGAGTACTGTAGCCTGAAATAGATTTGGAATTTAAAATAAAATGGATTTTAGTTATACCACTATGCTTGAGAGCATTCACACAGGCTGCTGTGTTTGAGTTCCATCTCCTCCATTTAACCATGCTTTCTTGGGGTTCTTATTTAACTTTGCTGTGCATCATTTTGCTTATTTGTAAAATAGACAATGATAATGATATCTCACCGAATCCTTTAATTAGTAAGTGAGATAATATCATTCTTCAACTATAACTGCTTCATAGTATAGACTCAATATAGAATTATGAATTATTACCAATTATAAGCATTTTACATACAAAGTGATCACAGAAGTACAACATTCAAATTTGTGGAGTGGCCAGCAGTAGAGTGTTATCTGATGTACAATATAGCTCAAAGTAGAACATGGGGCAGAGAGTTTCATAGCACAAATACTCTCTGATATAATTTTATTTGGCAAATCAAAATGTTCTGTGTTCCTACCTTTCTTCTCCACACTAGTTATAATCTCCTTGCCTTTGCATTTCTCTTCCCACTCTGCTCTTTTATTTATTCTTTCCTTAAGGAAAACTTGAAGCTTTCATTTTCTAAGATAATTTCTGGTTAAATCTTACTAAATTCCCAGATTTCCAGGCAATGTGAATCTATAATTGAATCAAAATAAACAATCATATTAGATCTGTTCCATATGCATGAGCTCTATCAAGAACACTAGAAAATGTTTTCTGTTGGCATGTTTACAAATCTAAGAAATCTATTGTGACTTGCAGCTTATAGATAAAATATGAGAAAGCTCAGGACACTGGTACCTTTTAGCTCTAAGTGGATACTTAGAATCATCTGTACAACATTTCTAAGTATAAGTGGTTACAGCTGTCAGGTTGTATGAAATTAGTGTTTAGTTTGTTTACATCCATACCACAGCTCAAGCATTTGTGGTCTGTCAGTGGAGCAAAGAAGAAGAAATATAAAGAAGTGATCTTTATATTTCATGTGTTGCTGTCTTTATGTGTAACTTTTTTTGGCTATCATTTCCAATTTAGGAGCCTTGTATATAGTAACATGTCTTCACGGAACTCATTGTTCATGACGAAGAAAAAATAATGTACATTCCTAATAGACTCAAAATGTCAGCATTTATTATCTATTTTCACATGGATTTTTTTTTTTTTTGATGAGTAAATGTCAGCACAGGGACTTATTGAATTGTGAAATGACTTATTTCCATATTAAACTAACTTGATGATGGAACCAGCCATAGGTATTTGCATATGTTTAATTCTGATTTTATCCATTTTAGGCATGACTTGTTCCCCTCACCCCCCAAATCAGGAAGTGAATTCACTTCCTGGTGGGGAAAGCCTTTAATTGTTAGTGCTTAAGGGAAAATGCTCTAACATGCATTGTTTTCTGTCAATGAAATTCTGATCATGCTCTCAACCACTGTTAACTTTGCTATCAAGTTCACCACAACCAAGCTCTTCCTTTGATCATGGTGAATTCGGGTGTGTCCGCATGAGTCGTTTCACACGGTGTCTTCTCCAACGTCTAGGTGAGCACAAAATGCCGAGGCCTCTGGTGGGAGTGTGTCACAAATGCCTTTGATGGAATTCGCACCTGTGATGAGTACGATTCTATATATGCTGAACATTCCTGTATGTATTCCTTAGACATTTCCCCTTGTCTGGGAGGGAATACTATAGAAAACTGAACTCAGGTTTCTACTGCGTGCTTTTTTTTTTCTACTGTACTATATTAAGGTTCTATCAAGTTTTAAATGTTTTGATTAGAAACTTAGTTGATTTCTGAAATGTGAATTGAAACATTTTTAGCGTATTTTATCTTTTCTTATGTATTTATAAATACCTTTAAGGGTAAAAACGTTACCTTACTCAGCTCTGCTATCCCCCAAAGTGTTGGGTACAGCGCCTTATACACAGTAGGCCTATGGTAGGCACTTTAAATTGACATGAATTCTTCAGGGTACTGTGATTTTATGATTCAAATTGACAGGTTAGATGAAAGCATTTTAGCTATGACTTAGGTCAAATGGAAAGTTTACAATATTTCTATGGAAGATTTGCTAAGGGAGAAGGTGGAGCTAGAGGAACAGAGTCAGAGACAGAAAAACAGGCAGGGAGACAGACAGGCAAAGAGACACACAGACTGTGGGGCCAGGGAATGAAAAAGTTAATATACACAAAACAGTATTAGCAGAAATCAAAAAGCCAGCTCCTTCATCCTCCTTATCTTTTGGCTTTAAATTATAATTAGGTGTTAACAAGACCCATGTTTCTATGAATAAAGAAATTTTATAGATTGAAAATCTTATTACTGATTCTCTCAACTCTTGTTCAATACTATTTATTTATTTAATCAAATCATGCTGAGAATTACTGGAGCTGTTATTAAAGCAAAGTGGTGTTAGTCTCTCTCAAAGCAAATGATGGCTAATGGGACAACATGGCAACTTCTTTTCTCAAGATAAATGAAAAGTAAACCCTTAGAATGTGACTTTTCCTGTGAACAGCTATTTCAGTCCAGGAAAAGCACTTAAAAAAGGGCCATGCTCTAAATCTAAAATCTCTTCTGCCATTTAGGATTTGAGTGACTGGAACATTTTTAACAAATTCATCAGGCCTTTATTTCACTTTTTAGCAAAAGGTCTCTTTTTTTTTTTTCTTTTTCACTTCTTGCACTAACCTAGTTCCACCTACAAAGAAGCACGATTTGATCAATGGAAATGGATGTTCATGGGGACACTGGGCTAGTCCAGAAATGCAGCATTAAGGTTAGAGTTGAGAAGAAGATAGAAAGATGAAGTAGCTCAAAATTTAAATATTGTTATCTACATTTATGCAAAAAGGAAATAAAGTCACTCACAAGCCTGCTACACGGAGAAAACCACTGTTTGTCTTTTAAAATGTTCCTTTATCTTTTGCCTGTACTGTCTCACATTTTTCTTTTGATATAGTCTTACCTATTGCTTTCAAATAACATCCCAAAGATCTATTAATTTTCTTTACAAAATTCTATCATATGCTTAAAGAAAAGAGAGATGAAAATGTAGGCTAAGAAAATAATGTACCCTCTGAGTTAGGATGTCACCTATAAGAGAGAAGGATTTTATTTTCAGTCTTTGATCTATTTTATACAATCACAATTAGTTAACCTTTCTCATGGCCTTGTATACCTAAGATATGTGGGCCCAGGTACATTTTTTTAGGGCTCATATTGATACAGTTAATTTGAGTCCTTCCCCACCCCCCAAATCAGAGTATTTAACAAAAAGGAAATTCCTGGCTGGCCAGCACTGGCAACCTTCTTGCAGAGTTTTCCTTTCAGAACTGGGCTAGCCATGGGGGCCTCTGGATGGCACCGTAGGAATGAGTCCTGGCGTTCCACAGAGCACCCGAATCACACTTTGTATGGAGCAAGGGTCAGAGAAGGAAAGACCAGGGCCCACAGTGACTTCAAGGCACCCATCCAAATGGCAGTCCTGGCCCTGTTGGTCCCAGTTTCCAGAATGCGACTGAGAAGATTCCAAGGGAGGCAGTCCAAAGTGTGGGACTACTTGTCTTGGGGTGCTGAGTAGGAGGCCCGCTGGTATTTACCACTTGAGGATGAAGGAGATGTGTTGAAATATATAAACTAATGTCATCGAATAAATTACATATTGTTCTCTTTCCTCAATTTTGGAAAAAAAAAAAAAGAGAGCCTTCAATTTGGCCTGCATTTGAAATTTGAGCCAAAATTTTTAAAAATAATGCCATATTTTGAGATCTTAGTCACCTATAAGTAAGGTAGAAACTGATTTTATGCATTGATTTCCTCTCTTAGATAGATTATAAAAATATTTTATATTTTAAATGAGGAAAATTGGCCACATTTTTGTAAGCAATCTATAACCAAATAAACCCTAAAGTTATCTCACCACTGAGGAAAAATTCAGACACAAGGAAACCCCAAATCACTCTGAAAAATAAAAATAATTACTGTATCATCAAAAGAATAAATGTTATTACTCCTTTCCAGTAGCCAGCTAAAATAACAGTAGCTCTGACTTCAGGTGATTAAGCCTCCATATGTGACACAATTTTCCTATTTTTAGTTTAGTATAACTGGGACTCGAGTTCAGGAAGCTTTCACAGTTGGTGACACTTCCATTGCAGAAGATGACTGCTACTATTCCACTTCTGTTTACCTGATCTTCTCTTCCCTAAATTTTCTACCTTATATTCTCATTGGCTACAGCTTTAAAATACGCTCAGTTGACAGTGCAAGGCTGAAGCATTATTGCGGAGTGTTGGCCAAGAAGGGTCACAACCAGAAGGAATGAAAAAGAATATGACCTGGCTTCCAAAAATCGTCTTCTTCTAAAAAGCAGACGCTCCCTCTCCTTCTGAAGATCTGCTGATTGCTCCCACCAGTCTGAACTGGCAAGAGACGTCTTGAAGTGTTTTATTCTGTTCCCTTATGCCAAACCTTAACCAATTATTTACATTTTTTCAGTAAAACTTCAAACAAATGTAATAATGTTTGATTAATTGAACATTTATTATCTTCTGAAGAAGAGATCCTCTGCTTTCAATCTGGCATTTAGCTATAATACTTATGAACAAGACTCATTCCACAACAGGAGGCAAAAGGGAAACGATTACTTAGTCCCTACCATATGCCAGGCATTTTGCTGGGAGGCCAACAAGACTGCAATAAGCAGGGCTTAAACAAATAATAACGGCATTGTCTCATGACATTTTTGGAGTTTATGAAAAAATTAAGGGTATTTATTTTTAAGTTCATGCAAATTTAAAGTCTGATTTTTTTGTTTTTTTAGTGGGCATGTGTTAACGTAGGTTAGCGTACGTGGTTGTCTGCTTTTTGATGTGCTCCTGTGTGTTAACCTGTTTCCCTCCTCTGACTATGCTCTGGCCACATGCTCCGATCTTCAGTGAAGCTGGTGGTAACTCGGGCGTTGATGATTACTGCAGATATTCTAGCTGGATTTGGATTTATCACCCTGCTCCTTGGTCTTGACTGTGTGAAATTCCTCCCTGATGAGCCGTACATCAAAGTCCGCATGTGCTTTGTTGCTGGAACTACATTACTGATAGCAGGTACTGGTCTGGACTCAGTGATGGAGCGACAGAGACCAACCTAAGGTCCTGAGATGAAGAAGGGTGCTGTTCTGAAGTAGTTCATTTTAGGATCGTATGCAACTTGCTTTTCTAGATTAAAGGGACAAAGAGCACATCCACCAACCCTGCTTTCTTTAGTTTTGGAATTAGATAATTAATTTTTTGTTACTATCCCTGATCAAGGTTTATCGAAGTCCTCAAATGTTTTTAACCATTTCAAAGGTTATATAACACTTTAAATTTCTAAAAATTTTTGTGATTATTCCTGAAGTCAAATCCTAAAATAAACCCTAAGCCACCACCTGTACACACTGCCACCAATTAACTAAATTGTACCAAGTGCTGTGTTAGACTTCTCTCATGGGCCAACCTGTAGGGTCATAACTGTAACAATAAGCAGATTATGCTATTATCTCCACTTAAGCAGGTGAATAAATGGAGTTCTGAAGACTAATAAATCAAGCATGACTAATAAACAATAAATCAAGAAGCACTTCACACAGTGTTTATTAGTGAAACAACAAAATTGGTATTTTACTGAGCTCTGTCATCAAATTCAATTTAGTCTTCTTTTATTACAGCACAATGCCTTCTTTGGATTGTAATGCAAGTTGGGAAGACGTACACTATGGAAGAAATCAAAGTACAGAAAGAGTAAAACCCTCTCTCTGGAGGGTGAGCCCACCCTCAAGAGAGAAAATCGTCTTCTTTTACGGTAGCAGCAGAAAAGTTAACAAAACAAATATAAGTACCTGACCAGGAAGTGTAGCGTGACTATATAGGAACCTTGAAGTTAAAGATACTTGGAGATACATAAGTGTAATGTGTGACCTTAGGCCAGTTACTTAATCTATCTCCTTTGTTTGAGCTGAAAAATAAGGTTAAGCCCCAGCAGAAATATGTCCTCTTAATTGCTGGGGTAAAGGTCCAGTGTGGGCAGAGTAAGCCCATAGCAGAGTCTTACCCATCCCACAGTCAAAAAATGGGGCCTCCCTAATATTTTCACACACAAGCATTGAGTCAAGACCCTAATGATCCTTAACTGTATTAAAAAGTCACAAGAATTTAGTAATTTTTCCTTTTTAAGATATTCATTCCCATATCCAGTCTCGTGATAACATAAAGCTTTTGTATAAAACACTTGTTTTATTTAACAAATTTAAACATCATTTAATGCTATGAAATTTTATTCTAGAATGTTTTTTGAGACATCACTAGGTACTCTATTTTTTTTTATAAAATACTATAACAAGCTAAATATAAAGAAAACTGAGTCAATGAAGAAAATCCCTGCAGGACTGGCTGGAGAGATGACTAAAATAAATTGCCAGAGATGGCCAAAGCCTCAGGGTCCTCATTTGATATTAGTATGCCATATATAAATGTGTGTATACGTGCGTGTGTGTATATGTATATACACAAAAATCCATTTCTAAGTTTCAAGAAAAGAACTTTTCAGCCTAAACCTATAGGTTATAGTATTATAGAAAAGGCATGGTAATTTATATTCTGTATTCTAAAGGTTACTATGTCTTCATGATCTGGTCCTTCTTTTACTTCTTGCATTAAACAATTGGGAAAAGAATACAATGAAACTGTGACTTCAGTGGATATCACAGACTCACTACAAAGAAATGTGAGAGTTTCTTGGGGGTCACAGATTTCAGAAACACTGTTTTCACATAACCTTTGTCCCACAACTCCCCACCTGTTTTTCTTACATCTGAGCCCTGACATGCAAGTTGCATGCAAAAGCAAGAGGCATCATGTCAAGCTAATCAATTTTCAGAAAGACTAATCTGGGAGGATTAAATTTTATTTAAAATGAGCACAATTTCTTAGTCTAGTCTTATATGGTGTGGGAGTAGTAGATAAAGACTTATTTTAACATAAAGACAACTTTCGCTTCACTTATTTTTAACCCCAACACACTAACATGAATGACTTTAAAAGCAGTTTCCGTATGGGTGCTGACTATGTAGCTGATGTAACTTCAGTCGTGGGTCTGGGTGGTGGGTCTTAAATCTCCTTGGATTTAAATGGAAAACAGGCCTGCATTATGTTTAGCGATTTTCTTTTCTTTCAGGTGCCCCAGGAATCATTGGTTCTGTGTGGTACGCTGTTGACGTTTATGTGGAACGTTCTTCTCTGATTTTCCACAATATATTTCTTGGCATCCAGTATAAATTTGGTTGGTCCTGTTGGCTCGGAATGGCTGGGTCTCTGGGTTGCTTTTTGGCCGGCGCTGTCCTCACATGCTGCTTATACCTCTTGAAAGGTAGGAACAAAATAAAATAGCACACTTCCTCGCCTGCGGTAGCATTCTCCCAACCCAGAGGAAACACATCTCACCAGCCCAAGGAGTCTTGCTTGCTTGCTCCCTGCCTACCCCATTAGAAATTTCAGTTGTTCGAGGACAACTGATTGACAACACTAGAACCTTAGTATCTGGTTCGTGGTGTATTTGTTGGAAAAAAAAAAAAA